AAAAAAAAAAAAAATTGATGGTGACCTGTATGATAACTGCTTTGTAATGTCCTTTCTTGGATATGAATAGATGCAGAGCATATCCTACATCCAGGCTGCAACACAAAGATAGAACTAAGGCAGCAACTGTGGAGGACAGGAGGACACAGGGACAACAAGGAGAAGCCTCGCCTGGCAGGGAGGTCAGGGATGAATAGCACAGAGCAGTCAGTCTAGGGAGGAGGGGTCCTGTCCTGGGGGAGTTCTTTGAAGCAAGCCAGGGAATTTGGACTTATCCTGCAGGCACAGCAGAGAATGCTGAAGAGATGAGAACATTCAGAAGGCAGGAATGTTAAATCCTGCATTCTCCTCAAATGGGCTCCCCCAATCATGTGAATGAGCAATGCAGTCTACATTTTCCTTTATGTGCACCTACCCAAACCCAGTCTTCAGCCCACCACTGCAATGATTACAGGTACCTTTGTTTGTAAATAACATAAATACTTAATTCACAAATTTATTTAACTGAGGCCCTTATGTCCCTGCCAGAGTTATTCTCATAAATTCCAGACGAAAGGCTCCTGGAGTGCAATGGTCCGGTCTCTTCTGCTTTACACAGCACCCCAGTACAACACGACTCTGACAGGATGCCGAGCACCTACTTTCACAATCGTGAGAACAACTTTTTTCCATAAAACTCAGCAATGTTGTATTAAAAAGCTTTACGAAACTTCTTAAAGAAAAAAATACACTGTTAGCTTGAATCAAAAGGCATGAAAGTGAGTAAGAACATATAATGTTAACAACAAGTATTTTAATTTTTGGAGAAATGAAAGATAAAATAATCAAATTACCTCTATTAAACCACATAATGAATCAATACAAATATTAAATTTCCAATCTTTCAAATAAAAGACCAACGTTTAATAACCTAAAATGTGATCAGGAGCATGTGCAGTCAGTTTTGTGCCTACGATGTCACCCACTGCGGTTACACTGGGTCTTTGAGGGTCACAGCCCTTGGCTGGCCTGGAGAGAAGGCAGCCAAACAGGGAGGAAAAAAAGGAATCTGAGGGGAGGAAGGAAGACAGTGAGGATGAAGGGAAGTGGAAAGACAATGGGTAAGAGAGAAGGAAAGAGGTTCCCCAGACTGGGAAATGCAGAGACAAGACTAAGTTAACTGGAGCTTCAGAACTGCCACCGCACGCTGTGGAAACTACTAGTGCCCAAGAGTAAGGAAAAGCAACATTCTCACCAAAAACACCACACAATGATCATTATTTTCCAGTCTACGTGTTTTTGTTCATTGCGCCCAACTCTACTGAGAGTTTTCTTTGCTCACAAGGACGGAAGAGGGGCTGACTGCCTGGCGGCTCACAATCACCAGAAGTTGTGGACTACACAGCAAAGCCGCGTGCTGGAAGCCCCTCCACTTAAGTCACTGTAAGGAGACAAAGCGATGGAAAAGCTGAACAAAGCAAGTAAGTTGTTACAATACTGTGAGGCCTTCAGTGGGTCTTTTCCATCTTTCATTTCTAGGACTGAGCAAATTTTTCACATGATAATAAATCAATCCTGGGTCCCACAAACATGCCCCACAATACCACAGTACAACAAAAGGAACCCTATTATAAATCACACCATTTCCTCAGGGAATATCACTGAATTATTAGAGGCTTCTACTGGGAGAGACGACCGCAGAAGAAGCACGTTTCACTTCCCATAAAATATATTTGGCTTTTGTATACCCCTAACAAGCTATACATAGTTCAAACATTTGCAGATGGCTGGAAATTTCCAGGGCTTTCCCTCTCAGAAAAATTCTATGAAGCTATAAAATATTTTCATGATATAATTTGAAATCTTTATAAATGAGCCATTTAAATATACTTATGCATTTTAATCTTAAAATTTATATTTAAAATGTAATCATAATATAATATATATAACATAATATAAATATATAATATAATATAAAGTCCGTGAAACTGATTTTAAAAATGGATCCAATCAATGAATTTTCTAATCACTGAAAGGGAAGGTGATCCTATCACACCAACTCAGAGAGAGAAAATGGTATACCTGTTAATTTAAATGAAAATTGATGGTCATGATCAGCTTTCTCAGAATAATACAGCTAGTCTTAAAAATTGGAGCAGAAATAGCTAAAAGCAAATGGCTTCATTTACCAATACTGAGTGGGAAAGAATGGGTCTTGAATTTAAATAGACGTGGGCTTGAATTTCAACTGAGCCACTTACAAGCTGTGTGACTATGGCAGGTCCTTGAGACTCTCTGAACCTGTTTCGTCACCCACATTTTGTGAAGATTAAGTGAGATAATGTATGCAGAGTCACCAGCATGTACCCTGGGATATGGGAGTGCGCCAGCAAGTGATAAGAAGAAATAATGAACAGAGCTGGGAAATAATGTAATATACTAAGTATGACCATCCTTATCACTTTCCAAGATGGAATGCCCAGGAGGCGTTTGTATTAGAGCAAAAGCGCAGCAGTGTGGTGCTTAAGTCGAGATTTTGTATGGAAAGCATTAAGTCGGCCAACTGAACAATAAATTGGCCTAAGGTAAACACAGTCAAAGAGTGACTGCTAATTTCTAGTAGGAACAAGTTCCAACTTCCAGCCAAATAATATCTACAAAATTCCTGAGGGTAGTGAAAATCTTACTTGTGAAGAGTATAAAT